ACCGCCCACAGGGGCGAGTGGGGAATTTTATTTTTATATACATGTTCCAGGTCGCTGTGTGCTTTCAGGTCAGTCTCCTGACTCAGGCCTTTTCAACCTGCCTGAGGGGAGGAGAACAGAAACTGCTTCCTGCCTGTGAACAACACGGCTTTCTTGATGTTGTCACACCACGTCTGACTATGAGACAAAAATAAAGCAGCATTCTAGATTATGTGTTGAAATAATTGGGACAAGAGAAAAAGCCAAGTTTAAAACGAAGCTTTTCAAAGAAGCATGGTGGAGATATTGCTGCACTACTTTAACAGAGTGATAAAGAGCTATTTTTGGCACTGGCACACTTTACACACTATGAAAAAAGTGTTAAAGCCACAACAACAGAGAAGATGTTGATAAAGGTATGAAGAAGCTCCGTCCTCACTGTCGAGATAAGGCTCATTCATTGATACTCTGCAGTGATTCACTGATTGTGTAATAAGCTGCTAGTGTGTGTGGATCTGTGCTGGTCATGCAGCAGCCGACTGATCCTGCAGTTATAGTGGCATCAGCAGCTGGACCAAAGCTGGATTATGGCGCTGGCACAGCTGGCAGCCTTAACCTAATTTCCCTCAGGATGAATAAAGTATAATCAATCAATCAATCAATCGATAACCTTTCCTTCCTCCTCTTTGTGCATCCATCCTTCATCCCTGTCAGAAATTGTTGTTGCAGTTAATAAGATGGAGGCTAGTGAACTGGATCACATGGCATATACAGCTAATCGCCAACAGAGGCAGCATCGCCTCGGATGCTGTTTAAACTTGTTTTCAGACTAGCAGAGTCATCATCACAGCTATGAAAGGACCCGGCTCATTTATATGTGTGGTGACCGATTGTTATTTTACATATGCATTAGAAAGTGATAGAAATCTACTTAACCCTTGTATGGTGTTTGGGTCTGTGAGACCCATGCCATGTAGAGGCCGCTGCCCCTTTAGGCAGTATATACCATCAAAACCTGCAAAATATGGTATAAAGATATTTACACTTGATTATAACTAGAGATGCACGATACCACTTTTTATGTCTGATACCGAT